GCCATGAACCGGTACTAATGCCTCAAAGCCCATTAGTCCCAGTTGGTGGCACCAACCGGGACTAAAGGTCTAACCTTTAGTACCGGTTGGTGCCACCAACCGGGACCAATGGGCATCGCACCCTTTAGTCCCGGTTCGTGGCACGAACCGGGGTTAAAGGGCCCAGGTGAACCGGGACTAATGCCTTAGCTGCACGAACCGGGATAAATGCACTCATTGGTCCCGGTTCTGGACTGAACCGGGACTAATGGGCTTACCCGGCCTGGACCAAAGCCCCATTTTCTACTAGTGAAGGCGTGTGTCTTTTGCCAACATGACAAGTCTATTAAGCACTTATTTTTTGAGTGTAAGTTCGCTCGGGCGGTTTGGGCCACAGTTCAAGTAGCTTCAAATTTATACCCACCACGTAGTGCTCGTAACATGTTCGGCAACTGGTTGAGGGGTATTGATAAACAATTTTCTGCACATATTCTTGTGGGGGCGGCTGCCTTATGCTGGGCATTGTGGCTTATCAGGAATGATGTGGTTTTTAATAAAAAAATATGTTTCATCTTCTATGCAGGTTATTCATGTATGTACGCGATGACTCCGTACTTGGTCTATCCTGCAGAGGCCGAAGGACAGGGACCTTTTTATGATGGTGTCTACGCGGCAGGAGTGTTCGGCCAGGGAGGTTTTCTCCCCCCATGGATGGCGGTGTGATCTTTGGATAGGAGCTGCCACGTCATAGGCTTGGACTAATTTATCTTTTTTAAGTTGTAAAACAATTTTATTTTTTGGGTCGGTTGGACTTTTTGGCTGTGTGCATCGAGTTATGCAGAGACCGGACATTCTTTAGATGCGATTGTATCACCTCGATATATCAATTCAATGAAATGTACTTTATTGAAAAAAGTCATTGATGTACTGATTCTGGAGCAGCATAAAGTCATTCAAGAATCAAGATAGATAATAATGACCAGTTTCTAATTTGCAACATGAACTTTCATGGCTCTTAAAAATACAAATTGAAAGTAAATGAGAGAGCGAAATAGAGTAGTTCTATAGCAAAGATTCTTCATAGTTCGGAACTTGGTGCTGTAGGAAAAATAATAGAGAACAAATGATGATAGCAGTGGTGCTCTTCTACCATCCAGAATGTTCAATTCTACTAGCAGCCCTAAGAAGAATAAAAGACATGACTCATACATAATATACATACTCCAATGGTAGTGCAGAAATCCAGATCAAGCACCTGCATCTTAGAGCCCTACAAAAAATGGAGGCCCCTGAGTTGCACTATCTTCTTCTCTCATCTCACGGGATAGTGGAAGGGGAATAAGGCTCTCCTGGAGGTAATGCTTGGTAATCCACAAGCCGATTACTTGGCCATCCTTGCTTTTCACATATCCTAAGAACTTGCCATCGATGCCACAATGCAACACAGGCCCACAACCACGAATGAATTGGATTAGCAGCTCACCGTTATTGAGCACAACCATCCTGGGGAACCTCATCACCCATGAACGTGGTATTGGATCGTCAACACCCGACAAATTAATCTGATGCTTGAAAGACCAGGTCTCCGTTGTTTCGGCGCCATAGTTTTGTACCACCCAAACATCTACGGTCATTTGTTCAGGACTGACGCTGCACAAAGCAAGAGTGCCATCCATCTCCAACAACTGGTGGAAGTACAGCTGGAATAGACGACCCATCAACCAGAATGTTTCGGCTGCTGTGTTGAACACCACTATTGAGCGGCCGGGAAGTCCCCAGTGCAGGCTACCACGGTGGTGGACTGGTGGACAACCCGACGAATCCGGCAGGCCCTTACACAACGCCGTTTCCAAGGGTGTTGTCTGTGCGATGCTACCTTCTGCGATGCATCTTATGTCACTGGATCCCACTGCTACGACGTAGTAAAATGTGGTGTATGCTGTGTCTGCTCTGTCAAAGTACCTCGGAGTAGAGACCCAAAGCACCCGGTATTCCCCGGATGGTTGGTGCCGATACAAGCCTGCGATGTGGTGCATAAATCCATGCTGGCTTGGAGGCGTCCCTAGGGGAGCACACTCACGGGTGACCGGGTTGCAGATGAAGAATTTTACCGGAGGAGACGAAGGAGTTCGCACACTCATGGATCCATGGGAGACGATGATGAGCCCATCAAGGGCAGCCAGGAGTCTACCGCTGTATGTCCGGACCACGGGGCAGAGCTGTTGCTGGCCTGCACCGGCGTCAATGGAAAGCAAGAGGCGGGACGCCGTCTGCGGCTCCACGGCGTGACCGAGCACCGGGAGAAAGGGCTGGCGGCGGCGGTGGTCCAGCATGAACTTGTCGGCGGAGGTGGCACTGCGCCATCCCTTACGGACGCAGCGGCAGCGCATGATGTCCCTGGCCGGCAAACGGACAAGGATCTCGTCGACGACGATCGACTCGGGAAGGTCGTCGAGGACGGTCTCGACTCCATGGCCGGGCATGGTGACTGGCTGCGGGTGCTCCATCAGATCCGGTACCGAACAACTAGAAACGAAGAGTAAGGATGGTGCACAATCGACGGATTTGTGGGGCTAGCAGGGGCGAGAGGATTTATACCTTGGGCGGACAGGCAAGTCACAGTCGATGCCTTGATGGTGAGCTACGCGGCGGCTGTACCACGTCTCTGCACACGAAGACATGAAAGATTATTTTCAAGAAAGGGGGAGGACATGAAAGATCCGAGGGCACACGATAGATGGAGAAACAAAATCATCATAAAGCGGTGGGCAGCGTGCTCCGAGAGAGACTCACCTCAACAGACGATTTTGGCGACGAATCAGTTGGCTACCGGCGTCTGGGAAGACGCACTCCGGTGATTTGTTCCTGCAAGGATGAGGATGGGAAATGGGGCGGCGAGGCGTATGGGTTTGGGATCTCGCCGTCGCTGGTGTGGTTTATCTACGGGTGTGGTATCAAGTTGACATTTATTATCATTAATAATGATATTAATGATATTTAATACACGAGCTGGCTAAAGATTTGCTCGGATGGATACTTTGACCATTACGATCTCCCGCACAATTACGGAACAATCAACATATATCGCGCGGCTGCATCGATCCAAAGTCTTTTCTAGCGGCGTCGGGTAGGTACCGGTCAAATATCCATCATTCACATGCTGCTAGATTCTCACATATGTATGTACAACGTTATGTGACAAACAAACAAAAAAGGGCGACGCTAGGCGCCGGCGCACCGACCGAACGGTTGAGCCGGTCGAGCCCGGGCCGCCCGATCCAGCGGTAAACACCGTCAGATCTGTTCCCCACTTCGTCCTTCTCGCAGTCGCCCCCCTCCCCCACCCTCGCGATGAAATTTGGAATGCCCTCGAGCGCCCCCGACGCCCCGCCACACCCCCGCGAGAGAAACGACCGAGCTTGAAGCACCACCGCGGCGCCCTCGTCGCCGGTCGCCACCCTCGCCAGCCGTCCTTGTCACCGGTCGCTGCCCTCGTCCCCCAGCTCCACCCATGCAACAACTGCACTCTCTAGTTGCAGCTCCGCGTGGCGATGGCTGTAGCTCGGTGGCGATGCAACACCGCCCGTGCCGTCGACTGCCATGCCAGGTTGAAGCTTTTTTTTCCATGACCGTTGAAGTTTTTTCCAAGGTTGAAGCTTTTCACAAACCGGTTGAAGCATTTTCACACACCGCTTGAAGCTTTTTCCGCACCACTCGAAGGTATTTTTTCGCGGTTGAAGTTTTTATACACGGTTTTTCTGCAAACGGCACGAGGAAAATGCTACAAACCAATGGCCATTTTTGCTACAACCAGGAAGACGACGAAAGTGTGGCCGGCGACCTCGACCGCTGGTGGTTGTAGCAGAAATGACTGCCGGTGGTAGCTTTTTTCACTGCCGGTTGAAGCTTTTTCCCTCTACGGTAGAAGCTTTTCTGTAAACGATTGAAACTTTTTCATTTTGAGTAACGCCTGGGTGAAATCTTCCTCTAATGTTCGGTTGAAGCTTTTTTCATCGAAGGTTGTAGTATTTTCTGTAGACGGTTGTAGCTTTCCTCTATGGCACTGAACGCTTGCAGCTTTTTGTATATCTGGTTGATGCTTTTCATCTAGAGTTTGAAGCTTTTTTTAGCGGTTGCAGCACACGGGGGCTGTGGCGGGGGCTGCACTACCTCGCCTGCAGGTTTGCCCGGATACGGCGCCCCCAGCAGCGGCGGCCATGGGTGTCAGGACCGCAGCATCGTCATGGCCGTGGCCGAGGCCTGCGAGGAGTTGGCTTGTCACCGGAGGTAGCGGCCATGACAGCCGCAGAGGAGCTTGCTGCGAGGAAGAAGGAAGGGATGAGGACAAACGGTTAAGAGGATAAGGTTGCGTAGAGAAAAAAACGATTTGTGGGCCTAGCTGTATTGAGCACGGAGGGATCGCGAGGCGTACGATTGAAAATAGATTGCACGGCTCGCCCTCCACCAGCGCTGCATTTGGCTGGCGCGCCGAACGCAAACGTTTACCAAAAAAAGTAGAACGTTGATGTATTTATCCCTCGCAAAAGAAATTTTTTATCCCACATAACCCCTGCATTTGATGTATTATGTCAACTCATGCATGCCTTTGGAGCCCACCCACGTGTCTCTTCTCTCTCGATTTTACTGTTCACCGAGCTCAAATGAGCTCGGGAGCAGAAAGACACTTTCGTGCACAAGTCCTCTATCATATGTACTCTCGAAATAAATCATCTAGCATCTCTCCTCTCTCCTCTCTCCCAAATAAATCCATCATTAGAATGTTTCGATTGAATAAATATTTCATTTTTACACATAATTATATAGTTGAATTCCTCAAGGTAAAACCGTTATTTCACAAGATGCATTTCAATCTTAAGACATGTATTTCACAAAGTAATTTGCAAACATATCTGTGATTTCAAATTCAGAAGATGCAATTCAATTTCAAATAATGCATTTCCGGACATGATTTTCACGTGATTAGCTAAAATATATTTCATAAACCAATTATAAATATATTTTTGCGAGATAAAAGGAGTTTATTCCATAGGGTCAGGGTTAGAATCGAGAGGCACGAGGTCCTCAATATATGGAGGTCCACAATGCAACCATACAAATGTACACGACTCCGTAGGGCTATAAAAAGGCAACTGATCTGCTACCCTACTTTGTGAACGACTAATCTTTCAGGGAACAAACTCCTTGTCTACCATGAGAGCCTTAATCTCAGCTGCCAATTGCCATAGGATGAATGTAACAGGTTGTCAATAGATAGGATGAATAATGCAACCATTGAGTCAGATTGCACAAGCACTAGTCTATCTATATGTTGGATGGCTAGAGCCATTCCTTGCAACAAAGCATAAATCTCCGCTTCCAGGGTATTATTACAGTGAATCAGCACTCTCTATGCTGCAAAAATTATAGCATCATCCTCCTTACGCATCACCATACCCGCCGCTGCCAACCCATCACTGGGACAAAAAGATCCATCCACTGAAATTGTGCAACATAGTTTGTCAAATGTGGCGGCTAGGGTTCAGCTAGTCTAGCTCTATCCTCAATAACACGTGGTAAAGGCTCAGTAACAGACATCTTGTCCTTCAATATCTCCCCGGTACAACTTTGATGGACGTTGGTCCATGATGTTTAACATGATTATCGAGAGTCTTAGTTTGAGAGAGATTGAACTCACAGGTAGGAAATATACATGGGCTAATTTGTTGCCCACTCCAACGTATGAGAAGTTGGATAGGGTGCTCGCTAGTGTGGAATGGGAACAAAAATACCCATTAGTGTCGGTGCATGTGATGTAGAGGGCGATCTCAGACCACATACCATTACTAGTTGACTCGGGAGACGCAACACATATTGGGAATAAGAACAATTTCTCTTTCGAACTAGGTTGGTTCGAGAAAGAGAACTTCGTGGAGATCATTGCACGAGAATGGGCAAAGCCTGTTAGTGGACGATCAAGTATTGAGAGATGTCAAAAAAAATTAGACATCTGATACAATTCTTACGAGGTTGGGCCAGAAACGAGAGTGGGATATACAAACAAGAAAAAGAGCGACTCACCCAGTTAATAGATACTCTGGATTTAAAAGCAGAAGTAAACATTTTTAATGTAGCTGAGCAGAGATCGAAGTCCGAAGCCGAGCAACGCTTACGAGCTCTTCTTAGAGAAGAGGAGCTCAAATGGGCTTTGCGTGCTAAGGTGCTTAATGTTGTCCAAGGGGATGACAATACACAATTCTTTCACATGATTGCAAATGGGAAACATTAGGAAGAAGAAAATAATACAGCTTAAACGGGACGAAGGGACAATTCTGGGTCATGAGAATCTAAAAGCATATATCTCTAATTATTATAAACAACTTTTTGGGCCTCCGGAAGCGAGCAAGGTGTCCCTTAATGAATCTATTATTGGAGATACCCCTCAGCTTCGGTCGAAGGAGAATGATATTCTATCTACACCATTTACTGAGAAAGAGGTTCCAGATGCAATTTCACAAATGAAACTAAATAAAGCACCGGGACCAGATGGGTTTCCTGCGGAATTCTGTAGGAAATGTTGGCATATTATTAAGGATGATCTTATGCCTATGTTTCAAGATTTTTTTAACGGTCATTTGGAATTGTTTCATCTTAACTTTGGTATGATTACGTTGTTGCCAAAGAAAGAAAAGGCAGTTCGGATCGAGCAGTTTAGGCCAATATGTCTTCTTAACGTGAGTTTCAAAATATTCACGAAAGTGGGCACCAATAGATTAACATGGATTGCCCATTCGGTGGTGCAACCAAGCCAGACAGCTTTCATGTCTGGGAGACACATTCTAGAAGGGGTTGTCGTCCTGCATGAAATGCTACATGAAATTCACTCGAAGAGGCTAGATGGGGTTATCTTCAAAGTGGATTTTGAGAAGGCATGTGATAAAGTTTAATGGCCCTTCCTTTAGTAGGCAATGCGAATGAAAGGGTTTAATGAGGCTTGGCGGAACCAAGTGGGTTCTCTAGTCCAAAAAGGTAGTGTCGAAATCAAGGTTAACGATGATATCGGTCACTACTTTCAGATACACAAGGGATTGAGACAAGGGGATTCAATGTCTCCTCTCCTATTTAATATAGTGGCCGACATGTTGACCATTCTTATAAACCAGGCCAAGGAAAACGGACAAGTGGATGGACTTTTCCCTCATCTGGTCGATGGGGGAGTCTCCTTTTTACAGTACGCTAACGACACCATCCTGTTCATGGAACATGACATTGCCAAATCGCGGAATATGAAACTCATATTATGTCCCTTCGAACAATTGTCTGGATTAAAAATAAACTTTCACAAGAGCGAGTTGTTCCACTTTGGCAAGGCCAAAGAAGAGCAAGACACATATAGACAATTGTTTGGGTGTGAATTAGGTTCTTTTCCCTTCAGTTGTTTGGGCATACCGATTCATCACTGTAAGCTATCTAATAAAGAATGGAAGTGCATCGAAGATCGAATTGAAAA